AATCGAGTTCGCGGCGTCGTCTTGGGGGTGGACGACGGACCGGCGTGCCTGATATAATACCATCGCGCGAAACAGATGCACAATTTTTGAGTACGATTCGGCGGGCCTACCTTTATTTCCCTTCTAAAGCAAAATAAGTGCGAATGAGGCTTGTTAAGGCTTTACTTACTTAAGGCTTTTAACTTGCGAAGAAAAATGCGTTCTTTAGCTCGTTAAAGTCCGCGCGATACGCCATCTGAGAGAACTTTCCATCCGCTTTTTGTCTCATGCCAAAATTATCGGATACAATGAGAATTTGATGAAGTACTTTAAGTAGCTCACGGGGACGCGTTGTGGATTTTTTCTTTTTTAACAAGTATCGGAGAGGATCATTTTTAATATGCTAAAAATTAGACTGATAGACTTGCACGAAGTGATACTTTTTATACATGGGGAAGCACATAGAGTTATGAGACAATTTTTCATTTTGCCTTGGAAAAGGTAACGATCGTGCTATGTTAGAAAAAAGACGAACGCTGCCTTCTCATTTGTTTGTTAAAGCTGTCGAGGATCTTGTCAGCAGAATATTGCTCGCACGTTGTCTCGATTAATTATTGTTATCTAATCGATGTGAATCTTCGCCGAGTCTCGAACAGATAGTAGAGCATGTAAAAGAAACGGTAATTAATTTGAACGGATAAAATTAGGAACTTTAATCTATTATAAATTTGTTACGGAAAATCACAAATAAATACGTCGTATAAAGACAATTCTTACAGAAATTTAATACTGGAAAGTAGTAATTAATTACTTATTTTGAATACTAAAAACACTTTAAACAGAAAACAACAAGATAATATTAAAATAACGTTAAAATAAATCGTAAATAATTGAAAAATAATTTTTAATAATCAATTGGTGTGTGTGTGTGTGTGTGTGTGTGTGTGTGTGTGTGTGTGTGTGTGTGTGTGTGTGTGGTGTATGTGTCATTATAACGTCATCATGACTTGTGTTTTACATGGAACTGTTGTTTTTTTGCTCAAAATAAGTAATTTTCAATATTAAATTGGGTTTCTGTAAGGTGAGTCGATTCTCCAATTCATAGTAAATTTACGATAAATCACAAATATATTATAATGAAACAATTTTTTAATTCTTTATACGTATTATAAAAAATTTTGCCAAAACGGTGTGCCGATTCGATGATTCTTGAAAAAAAAAGCAAGAAGGCAGATAAAAATCACATTGGATTATATAAGTTATTTGACGACGAGGGTCCTAAAGAAATCGTTACCCGCCACACGAGATTCCGTGTTCGCCGATCGTTAATCGTGCGGTCTAACTATCACGACCTGCATTGTATAAACTGCAAGTTTTATTCTAGCTATATAAATGGGAATTTTCTATGATATCGAATGGGCTATCACGCCAGATATTCCTAAAGAGGATGCTTAATAAATAACGCGCTCGAAACAGAATCGTGTCAGATTGACAGGCTCGTAGACGTTTTGGATTCGGTGTAAAAATTTTACAAACTCGAAAAAAAACTGAAACATTCGGTGGAAACCGGACGATCGCAATAACTATCATTGTTGGACGAGCTATCGTTACAAATTCGTAACTTCCGCCGGATGCGTATATAAAAGCTCGAATTTACACTCAATATTCGTAAAAATAGAACGAAAATGTCTGCGGATATATCTTGACTCGGCGAACGATTCGATCGCGGATCAATTAATTCTACGAATCTCCCAACGGGACTACGTTATAGTTACGTAATTACGCATCGCGTTTTTTGTGATATTTTTAATCTGCAGGTGCGAGCGTCTGCGTGTATGTAGTACGTTGTTGTTGAATCCGGTGTCCACCGCGAGATGCTAAAGAATTGTAAGTCGTGTAATAAAGCTGTGACTGTAAGGTAACTATGATAACTTCAATGATAATGAAATGGTGAGATGACGAAATAATGATGACAATGATGATGATGATGATGATGATGATGATAATGGAACGTCTGGCGCGGTGATAATCGTTATTGCTATCTTGTAACGTTTAATGTATATCAGTGTCGTGCAAACAAAAAATAAGAAAAAAAAATGAGCGGCTGAAGCTCCTCGGTGTTGTGGGTATGCATACTCGTTCCTAGCAACTCGTATGACAATTACTATTCGATACTACTCATAACGATTGCATTGATCTACTTTACTCTACGTACACTTTAAAGATAAATAAATACATTCTGTCCAATCTCACTTAGGTCTGTGTCGATGTCTTTTCTTCCCTTGTCAATATATCTCCCACTATTCCTAACTCTTTAGTGTCACACTGCTAGAACGATATACACTTGGACATAGCATATTCAATCCAATTCGATTGCTTATAACTTTCATAAAAAGAATAAATATATCATATATTCTTTAAATCTTTGAAGTGAACTCTAACTCTAAAAAATAGAATCTCAATCTTAAAAATTGATAATTGTGCCACTCTTTCTTTTTCAACACTGACTCAATTGTCTTTTTTATTATTCTTTAAAATTAGATTCAACTCTAAAGATTTTAATATATGTGTGGTAAAGAACGTTTTTCAATTGAACCAAGCATTAAAGAATATAATAGTACCAAACAAATGTATGTATCTTTATTAACAAACAAGTTATAAGCAATAAAAAAAGCATTGGAAAAAGAAAGCTGGATGTGCCACTCAAAATGTGTAACGTGAATTAATATATAGAAAAAATTCATTTTGAGAAAAATAACAGGTAATTCCAGATGGAAGTCACTCGTGGATTATTAATCGTATATACTTCAAGAGTTAGAAAGATTAATCTTTAAGTTTTTTAAAATAATTTCTTTTTTTTTCAAATCGAGAGGAAACAGAACGAAGATATACGTGTAAAAGAAGCAACCATATTATTTTATTATTCTGTTAACGACATTACATGTTAATCCAATTGGATTTTTTTTACAATATTTCGTGCTCAGATATTTACTTTCAGTTTTATACTTCCTGTTTAGAGCAAAATACACTCAATATGTCATGGTTATTTTGGAGTATTTTTATCTGGCTAATCGGCAAAATAGAAAAAAATACATACATCTATGTATATATTTGCTCATCAGCAGTAGAAAATGATTAATCATGAAAGAAAATGATTATAAACTTATTCTAACGTCATAATAATGCGATGTATTCTGTTAATCAATATATGATTATAAGGATTATATTTTTTTACTGCTAGTAAAAGCCGCCTACAATCTAGGAGATTATTACAATCCTTTAATATACAATTCTGATAGACTAAATTATATATATCTTCATGCGTATCGCGGCGCATTCGTTATTTAATATTCTAAACTGGCAGATCGAGAGCATATAGAACGTATTTTGTAATGTACGTAAACGTGGCTCAGTATATGTTGCTTTTAGCCTTTAGATGAAAATGGGATGGATGCAATCGATATCAGTGACTAAGCGTGAAACATGACTAGCTTGAAACGGCGATTCCATAGATTCGCGACGTGTTACAATATTTGACGATTAATTGTTGCATGTAGCATTTTGTTTTGCGCTCTGTAATTTATTTCGCATAACAATAGTCTCGGATTGCTATATCAGAATATATCTGACAGCAATTGTGTATGGCTGAATACATAATACATGTATATCCACTTATATCTGGGCCACGTTGACATGCAAAGGATAGAAGACTTTAAATTCTTAACAGTTATTATCGACATCTATTCGATAAATGACTCCTCGTTCATTAAACGGATCTCTTTTAAAAACCGATAGAAAAATATGTTTTCATTATTTTTTTATCACTTCATCAAGATGTCGGAATGCTGAAAAATTGTGATAAAACACAATGTTCTATCCATCATGACAGTAAAATTTTATGTGATTATAAATAACATTTATGCAGAAAAATATCAAATATACCTCTTCTTGATTTTTCATTAATTTAATTAATTTTATAAACAATAATTATTGCAGCACTAGTAATTTATACTAATATTGTTTGAATTCTTAATATAATATTGTAATCCTTGCTTACAATACAAAATAAATTGAAAATATTCCTGAATTTTTCATTAATTTTAATTAATTATATAACAGGAATATAAGAATAACATATTTTACATATTACGTCTATTTTATATACAGGGTTCTCTAATCTCGCACAGAAAGATAGATAAAATCGAAATAAATATAGAAGTTCTATAGCGCGCTACCTCTCTTGCCTCTCTAATTGCGCTGCCAACGCAGCCTATGTCTGAAAAAGTGGGCCAGGCTATACCTTGTGTGGCCGGAGCGTTTCTCAAAACGCGCTCACACATTAGTACAATTTCAAAAATTAATATCTGTAATAATATTGCTAGACTCGCTAAACGGTATGAGACTTTTGTATTTATTTCGATCTTATCTACCTTCCTGTACGAGATTGGAGAAGTCTTGCGGGACACCCTGTGTGTGTGTGTGTGTGTGTGTGTGTGTGTGTGTGTGCGCGCGCGCGCGCTTGTGCGTGTATATAATTTCGTGTAATAAACGCAAAAATTTGATATAAAATCACTAGAGATTCGATCTCCATATTAAAGTATACTATTAATAGCAATTTCATATGTAACAATTATAGAATAAATGCAACATAAAAATTTAAAATGGAAGAGAGAGAGAGAGAAAGAGAACATATCGAAGTATTATGGAATTTTTTTCTACAATAAGTTACCTAAGCTTTAAATCTTAAGCTATAAGAAATTGACCAATCATAATCGATTATTCTTCTTATTCGATTGTGTGTGTGTGTGTGATTGGTTAATTTCTTATGATTTAAGACTTAAAAACCTAGATAATAGCTTATTGCAGAAAGCCCATAAGCTACAAAAATGTAGACGTATATTGTATGGTATTTCAGAAATGCTTTATGTCGTGGATTATGTCATGTTACTGCAATACATACCTTCGGCATGATACGAGTTATAGTTATAGATTCCTGCCACATGAATATTTTTTACAGAGAAATTTTTTAAGCGCTTATAAAAATAATTGCGTGGATATCCATGTGAACATTCATTCATGATTCTATTTATAAACGAACTTTTAGCTCCTCCATTCTTTGTTTTATTCTTCTATGCATCTCTTTATATCTGAAATATCGAATTATTATAATATTGCGATTCTTATATTGACAAATATTATGTACTCACTTTTCTTTTAAGACAAGAATTTGACGTTCCTCTTCGTAATGATAACGTTGTAGTATACCATGGCATTCTGCTACAGATAAATTAAGAAACTGTGCGACATCGGAACTGATCTCAGGCGTGGACAACTTATCGACCAGGAACAGTCGTGCTACGTTCTCATGAGGACCCAAGACTACTCGAACTTCTAAAGGATACTCGTCATCCTTCAATCTTCTTTGCTCTGAAAATAATACAAATTGCATATAGTGAAAAAAAATATAATCACGAATAAATCAATTTCCTAGAGAATCGCAGTTTTCTTACCACCATTGTCGCGGACTACAAATAATGCAAAGTTATCAGACTTGGCATCGACTTTATATTTGTCCAGCATAAGATTAATAACTTCTTGGGTGTTCACTAAACTCGTCACCCAAACGGACATCTGCGACCCGTGAGGCGGTGTGAAGAAACTAGTCTCTCGGTTGTAAAAGTGGCCGTTGATCGAGCAACGACGTCGTAATCGACTTCGCGATTGACGTCTACCGCCCGGACGTCGTCTGATCGCAGTGGAACCTTGTTTACGACGCAAAACGACACCATCCAGCTGCAATTAGAAGATAAATTTATACGTGCACTTAAAATTATGAAGCCGATAGAATAAATATTCGCGATAGAATACTTCTAATCCGCTGTCTGTAGACATAGTCATATTGTCGTCCTCCCTGAATTGCAAAGAATTCACTGAATCCGTGTCACTATCAGTTCTATGTCTCTGAAGACAATCAGGACCGGACAACGATCGATTCAAACCCTTTTCGATCCAACTATCGTCGGTACTAATTGACTTGTTGCTGGGATTCTTTTCCAAGTTATCGAAGTACTCTACTCTTCGAAGCGTTCCATTTCGATTAGAAGCTCCTAAATTACAGACAGGAGTGTCTGTACTAGAAGAACTACCTATGCTGTGCGTTGGTGTACTATTTAAGCTACTATCGTTATCTCGGCTAGTGGTATGGTGATTGGGGCTGCTCGTTTCTGAATTTTCGCGGGAATCTGATCGATCGAGACTCGACTGAGACGAGAGTGGTGGCGTATCTACACTAGATTGCGAACTTATTGACGGAAGATTCTCAGGCATCGTCTGATATAATTTATTACCATCTTCGACTTTTCGTTCCACCTACAATCATACTTCTCCAGTTTATATCTACCAGTTTAATGAACTAAATATAAATATTAAAAATGAAACCTGTAAGAGTTCGTCTAATTCATCCCATTCCATGTTCTTAACATCCAATTTCATGGGCAAAGTGAGACTCTTTAAATGATCGGGCGATGTTGGAACAGACTTTGCATTATTCTCCGTACTGCTATCCAATGTGTTCTTAGATAGCTCATCTACCTTATCTTCATCTTCGACATCCTATTATAATTAAAAGCAATAAATAGATATTATTAAATCTTAACGCAAATAAAAATGACAAACCTCAGAAACACTGTGCCTGCATGAGTTTCTATTTCGTGCAGTAACTACTGTACGCTGATCGTCATCTTCCTTCAGATGAATTACACCACGGACTCCCCAATAAATTCTTAATGCACCTTCTAGTATCAATCTTCCATTAACCTGTTTTAAATTTTATTTATTTTTGCTTACAGAAAAATATTCTTTACAATAAGAACTTAATACAAATATTTTGAAAAGCCTTTATACCTCACGACTTCGAATTCCTCCACTTTTGCCTTCATAATACTGATTAAAAACTTTCAACTTGGATTCTAAATGTGATCTAAAAAGATATTTATTTTTAAAAAATTATTTAAATAATAGATTATCTAAATAATAAAATATTTAGCTTCTTCAGTAAAACATTCGACTGTAGTGATTTTGCAAATTTATTTTAAATAGAAATCCTTCGATTTTTTAAATTTAGATTTATACTAAAGCAATGAACACAAAGTAACAATATTATACACTATCTTAAAACAAATAATACAAAATGTATATTAAATTATTCATATAGGATTTTTATACGTGTTTACCTTGGTAAAGATGGTCGACTTTCCTTTTTTCCAAAACTTGTATGTGATTCTACTCTTGTACCATGACCGAATAACTGAGGTCCAAATAGTGCTCCATAGCAAGGAACATGACAATAAGGCACACCTTTGTGCTAATTTTAATACAATAACAGAATATACATTATAATTATTTTATATGTGCTACAATATAAATTTATAACTGAAAAAACAATAAATTATTTATTTAAATTACCTCTGCATGTTGTCCAGGATTCAATCGCTTTCCACATTCCTCACATCGTAAACATTCTGGATGCCAGTCATATCCCAAAGACTGTTTACGTTCAGCTAAAAAGTTGATATATTTATTCGTATTCTAAAATTTAAACTTTCTCTGAGAGTTACAATATTAATGATAACGAATTTCCTATTATTATTTTATATTATTATACAAACGTATACCGATTTTAAATTATAAATAATCAAAATAATACAACAACAAGCAGTTTTGATTCTTTACTTTATTCTAAATATAATACATAACCGAGTGGTCCGAATGATACTCATGACGTCCAGTAACAAAATGAATCGATCGTTTTGCTCCAAATCGCGAGTAGCATGATACTTGTCAGGGTGAGCATGTCGCTTTGACAAGTTGCAAATCGCAAAAACTCACCGAAATAAACGGGTTTGCCGCATTTGTGGCACTTCCACATGATGACGGACACACGGCACCCTGGCGGGACGACAACGGGCGTGTTTTCGTTGGAGTCTCGAACAGTTTAAACCATTTTGTTTACATTAGCCGAACATTTCACTGATTGGAAGTGACATGCGGGTTAATTACACAGATGTTACTAGCATGGTGATTCTCTCTTGACTCTTGGTCTAGAGGAGGTCTAGAGGAGGTATTAAACAGCACACCATCGTTTTCTTTCCTCTATATGAACAAACGCCACCTAGACTAACTCGTATCCTTCATAACATGCACCATAAATTTGTTGGTGATAAAATACACGTTCATAAAAAGATATTCAAAGACATATGATATTGTTAATCCCTCAAAAACGGAACAAAATATAAAAACAATTAATTTTTTATAATGTAAAAATATATTCCGCTCAATTATATTTATTCTTAAATAATAAAAAGTATCTTATACAATAAATCTTATATAATAAATATCTTAATAATAAAGAGTATATTACACACACAATAAAAATATTTTACAAAAAAATTTCATAAAATAAGATGCTTAAAAAATAGAAAAAATAAACTAATTTTCTTACAAATCCAAAATTTAAGTTTTTTTCTAAAGAAAAATATGAGGATTAAAAACAATCTTCATCAATATTTTTATTTTTACTAATTGCTAATTATCTAAAGATATTTTAATGTTCTTGTTTTGTACAAAAAAATAAATTTTACTACTGCTATCACAATCAAAACATTACAATATATTTTCTTCACTGTTTGTTTTTACTCTGCCTCTCCAAAGCATCCAAATGTTTCTTTTCAATGTTAACATTAAAGTCGTAAATAAAGTTTTCCATTTGCTCATATACTTGTTTACTTTCGGTTGGGAAGTACTCCTTTTTTGCTTGTATCACCCATTTATCAAAGTAGGCTGGCTGATTGACATAGTGATATATTCCAACAGGAAATGATAAATAGAGAAACATCTTAGCTACCTCAAATACCCAACCCATTTCCAATACCTGAGGAATATAAAACATTTAGTTACAACCATCTGTTTTCAACTCATATGGATCATTTATATTGATTGTAATCTGACAAATTACACCATAATTTGTAAAAATGATCTAATCATAGTCAACTATTCTCTTTTCATTTGACTGCTATTGGTCAATTTTTATGATTAAAACATAAGTTAACAGATAACAGTTAGTATTAATAATTCTTTATTCATAATTTAATGATCAAATCTAAAATCGTTTTCTCTATTATAATTGTATTCTATGATCAATATGTATAGAGCAATTTTTAATTCATTGATTAATTAGTTGCATTATATAGTAAATGTAGTTTTTAAAAAACAAAATTACATTTGCTCATAATACAATTAATCGATTGATAAATTAAAAGACTCACCCATATTATATGTAATTCTTTACATTTATCTAATTCAATTGTAACACTATTTATACTTTTTATACAAATTTTTCTTCATTGTGTAAAGCGCAAAAATTACATTAGAATAATTGTAGTTAGCACATGTAAGCACAATTGTTATAATAAGTAAGTTTTGCTTGATATATATCGGCGTTTACGTAAAGTTATCTGCGCTTGACTCCTAGGGTCCTTTTCTTTCCAAGTTTGTTTTTGAATTGTAGTTAGGTTAAACATTCTGTTAACACGTACAATGTTGATAACTTTGTTTTATTATTGATTTAATTATTACAAAAAATCATACCGTATTTCAGCTGTGAAAGCAGAAATCCTTTATTTATATTTGATAAACAAAAATGTGACAACCAAATATTCCAATAACAGGGTACGTTCAAGAGCAATTTATATCAAAGACACTTCTTGCTCGTGTTATTGATCCTGGTTCCTACGAACGGTGTAAATCAGTGTAAACTTCTTGATCAAAATAAATAGATCGACGATATGACAGCAATTTAGAAACGCAGATGATAAAGTCACAGAGATTATAGTGACCTTAAATAAACGTTAGAAAAGACAATTATACAAGAAAAATAAAAAAAACTTGGCAGAAATATTTTAGATTATTCTTCGATAATATTTTAATCCGTATGTAGACATTTTGTCACAAACTGTGTAAATAACACAAGGTACGTTAAACCGTAATCACGCTACATACAGGCTTCAGACCAGTGTAGCCAAGCGATTTTGAAAGAAGTCCCCTATAAAACAACATGGCTACGTTTCATTTCAGGCGCGCATTTAAAGGCCGCAGCACACACTTTTGCACGACGCATAATTGCATAAAAAAATCAACAAATAATTCTTCTTTTCCTCCCGCTTCACGGAAGAGAAGTATCTTGATTGGTTGATTTGCTTATGCACTATGTATTATGCATCATGCAAAAGTGTGTGCTGCGGCCTTAAAGCTGGTTCTACACAGTTGCCTTCAAATTCTCCATTTTAACAAGTTTTAAAAATACAAAACTTTTAATATATATAATATTTTGTTTATATATTTTTAATTATATAAAACTGATGGAATATAAAAATCTAACCTACATCGCACTTCTACATACATTTCATCATCGCGCTTTATTACATTACGTGGTTCTGTGCATGCGAGACGTCTCTCATCAGGGTGCGTCCTGATGGAGAAAGAAATAAGCGGAGCGGAATGAGAACGGAACATTGATAGAAAAGAGATAGGATTGTTCTATCTCTTTTCTATCAATGTTCCGTTCCGTTATTTCTGACTCCATGTGACTGCACGATGAAAAGTGTCGTCCGGGCGGTACTTTATAAATCTAGTGACTTTAAACTTCAGTCCAGTTGTAGCTATTTTGTTTTCTCCGGCGCGACGACTGCGGCGTCCGGATGGTCCCGTATAATGTCAATTGTAAAAATAGTGAGATTTATGAGTGGAAGATTCGAATACAGCCGCGAAATATAAGTTGAAAAAACAGGGTGATATTCCCTCAAGCCGTAATAGTGTTGTTCTTTTTACATTTCTACTTAATCTTACGCTCGACGACGTTAAATGAATCTTCTAATTATAGCGCAAAAATACGAGCTGATGTAAATTCCAAATACCTGTAATTAAAATCTGTAATTAAATGTCTGTGTAAACGATAATTGCAACAAATAGTCTCGTTCCTTTTCGAGAAGAGAACAGTGAAGCGTTTTTCATTTTTTAAACTCAAATGTCGAATTTGAGAAAAGCGAGAAGCTACACGTTGGTAGCAATGCATTACAAATGTTTGGCATGTTTGCCATTTGTTGCCACTGTTGAGACGCAATAACGTATTTGAGAATAGTATATCGTTTACCTTAAAATTGTGATGTTTCGATGAAATTTCCTGAGAGATATATTCGACGCTATCATGGAGGCTTTACTACCGTCCGAGATCGCGCGACTGGTACTCGGTAAGATCTAGCAGAATTAAAACCAAAACATCGCGCGTAACCTTTCCCGCGAGAACGCCATCCCTTTTTTGAGGAAGACTGCAGCCTTTCTTATCTATGTGTTATAACGTGATTTGATCGTATTGCCTTCCATTAGACGTTGGAGGCAGGAATCAATAAAAAAAGAAGAATCTATATGTTATTAATTCGCTGCCTTTGCGTGAAAGAATATATCTTTTTTACGCCATCGAATTCTTTCACGCAACTGTATTGTCTTCTTAATATCTTCATATCTAAAATACATGCAAACATAAAATGTAGCAAAGTATCTTACATTTAAGAGTAATATTGATATATATTAAGCATATAAATATTATATAACTGTACTAAAATTTTCTTAATAGAAATAGAAAAACTCTTTTATTAAGTATGTTTTTTTGGGTGTGTTTGCTTGTTTTAACTATGTTTTTACATGCTTAAATTTTGAAAAGAATGGAACTTTAGACAGCGCAACAAAGAAAATAATATTTGTCATGTATTACAGTACAGGAATGTTTTTGTACTTCAAAAATTTACTTCATATATTACTTTTATTTAATAGTACTGATCAAGTTGTATGGTTGATTATGTAGTAAACGTGTTAAAAATTTTTTATTTCTAGGTTACTTGGAAGATCAAAAATGTTTTGAAGCAGCTAAACTGTTTTTAGAGACATCTCCGCACTTGCAGGAATGCCGTACAGTACTTTCTTGTGGAAGGAGATTTAGTACTAGAGTTAATGGTCTAACATTGATGGATATTATAGAAAAGTTGTCAGCCATCAGTTCTATGAGTAAATAATATAGTGTCAATTAAATATTTAATTTAAATTTAAGTAACAATAATAAATAGATCTAGACAGTATATTTTGTAAATATTTAGCTTACGTCCAAAACATATGCTATTTCTTATAGTTCAAGAACGGTTAAGTAAAGCCACTGACTGTGAACAGTTAAAGCACTGTGGAGATTTAATAGAGCAACTCAAATTTCTTGTAGAAGAACCACGTGGTCAACGCTTTGTTGTAAACATTAATGTACCTTCACAGGTAACTTATCATTAGCTTGATTAATTATTTTCCACAGTATTCTAAATTTACAGAAATCTATCATATTTAACATAATGGAAAGGCATTCACAGGGAAGTTTTAAAAAGAAAAGCTGTACAATATGTATAATATATATATAAACATTAATAATATTTAAATTATATAACATGTTTTCCATGTTTTACAGAGTAATACACAAACATCAAATGGCTCACCTGTTATTGCAAACAATTTACGGAAAAGGCATCATAGTAATAGTGAACGAATTAAACGTAGTATTAAATCTCAATTAAATTTAGTACAACAATCTGAGATCATGAGCCCACGTATGTTTATTTATTTTTTTATTGATTTACAATGTTTATATAATATAAACAAGATTTTGATAAAACTTATGTCTAAATATAGCAGCGAGTTGTCACAATGTTGACACAACACTGTTAGAAAATCTGCCTGGAAATATTGATTTATTAAAACAGATAGATTGCGCTGCTCTCTCTTATACAGAGAAAAGAGATGAAAATTTCGCACAGGAACTTCATAGACAATGTGATTCTGATAAAAATAATATTGAAAATAGTATTGCTACACGTAATAGGAACAATAGTACTCGGTTAAGTTCAGGTAGAATTATAAAAACAGCAAACCAATTATATAAATCAATAGACAAGTTTATAGCTTTATTTTTCTTTATTTAGATGATGTTTCAAGTGTACGAAGTTGCGAAATGGACATTGACGATAAAAGAAAAGAAGAAAACAATATAATTAGTACACTACCTAAACAATATACTACAGCTACAAGTACGGAAGAATTATTGAGTTTTTCTAGTACAGAAGTTCAAACTATTCCTTATGAAATACCTGAATCAGAGTCCGAATCTAATGATGTGCCTATTGAAAATCTTAGTGTAAGCATCTAAGTGATTAATTTTCTATTTGTATGTTTGTATTATTTACATTAAAACAATTACTAATAATTTATTCTATATTTACACAAATACAATATTCAACATTATAATTTCCAAAAATTTACTTTCCAAATCACTATAAGTGTACAGCATTATATCATTAAATATATTCTATATGCATGTTTATATAATTTTCAGATATTAACAAAGGAAATGTTGAATCGTGAAGAATTACAACAATGTATTGCAGAGAACATCAACAGAGCAATTATTCCTACAGAGTTATCTTTGAAAGATGACAATTTGAATGATTCAATTATCGGTGAAGGGAACACTTCATTTATGGCTGAGATGAATTATGCTATTAAATCAATTGTTGAAACAACAGAGTCCGACCCTGTATTTATACGATTTATTGCTGAAACCATTGGGGTGCATACAGAAACAGATACAAGTCCAGAGGAAGATGGTGAAGGAAGGTTAAGCCATACACCTGCTAATGAGTGCGTATGGACTTTATATTCTTTGAATATTTCTTGTTAAATTAAATACTATACTTTTAAAATATATATTGTAATATTTTTAGAATACAAAAAAATCAAATGGAAACAGATAAGAACAATATTAACTCAGCAGATCCAGTGGTAATAGATACTAAAGTATTTACGGAGAATGGCACAACGGATGTTCCTTTGAAACACAGACTTCGTAGTTCTTCAAGACAACAATATAATAGAATCGAAGACGAAATCGACAAAACGAAAGATCAAGAGAAAGATCGGAATACTTTAGAAGATCAAAATGCAGCAGCAATATTGAGTATTATAAATGCTAATATTATTAATAGTGTGTCTGATAGTAACAAAAAGACTCTTGATGAAAAAGAATTAATAGTTGTAAATGACGATAATGAACAAAAAATGCAAACAATGATATCTACGATAAATAAGAATGACACTGTAAAGCCATTAGAACCCTTAGACATAGAGAAAACTGATGATGTTATTCTACCTGCAAGTAATAATGTACAACCTAAAGTTAAAAAATCGATAAAACGACTAAGACCTACGAAACCTAAACGCGATCAAACAACTAGTGATAATCAATCTAATTCTATCGAGTCCAATACAATTCAACCTATAACAGAACACGAAATCATGGCTATGCCAACATTGATAGTATGTTCAAAAGACGAAATGAATAATTTTTTGATAAATCGCTCGTCAACTGTTACATCAACTTCCACTTCGCGTTTTGTTCCGATTGCTCCAAAAGATCCAAACAGAATTAATGAAACTATGGAAACTTTATATCTAAGGACAGTAAATGTGGCACAACAATTACCTATAACTAAGACATTGTCATCCATAATAGAAGAACCAAACGATCCTGTGAACCAAGTGGAATTATTACAATCAAAAAACGATAACGTCAATAAACGTTCAACAAATGTATACCAAACTGACATGACGGTACCTATCGTCAATATTGATCAACAGGTATTAAATCATCCGGTAGAACCGGTGCAAATTAATAAACTCGTTGGAAGTGAATCGATAACGCTTTATGCCAATGAGATGAGCGCTAAAACGTTATTGGATAGTACCAATATGCCTATGATCAATCTGGAAGAAAACATCAGCTTATCGGATAGCGGATTTTCTCCATATTTAAAATTTAATTGTAGCAAAATCAGCCAAACTCATAATCTTTCAGACATTGATTTAGCGCCTGTGATAGAAAATATGGGAAATACGACAAATAATAGGAACGAACAGTTACCTAAGAATGCCGATGTTATTACCAAACGCACTCCGAAATCTTTGTTAAAAAGTAGATCCAAAAATCATAGATTAAGCTTGTCCACGCCGCGCAAACGGAGTAGTCACATAAGGGCGCTTGACTTTAGCACTCCTACGAGAACGACAAGAAAAACGAACGGGGATGGAAACTCTCAGTTTTCGTCTACATCGGTGAAACGTTTGAAATCTGTTTGTAGGACTTCATTATTTAGATCACCGGCACTTTCTAATACTTCCGCTCAAAAACAGAAGAGTCCAATAAAAGTTAGTCAGCCTTATAGAATTCCCATAGCTACTAGAAGCCCTGCGCCTAAACTTATGGGTGGTTGGGATAAGTACAATGGGGTTGGTGTTATTATAGGGGAAGTTTCTCCACATGGGAGTACAAGCGCATCTTGTTCTTCCTCGGAGGATAAAATTGTTCAACCTAAGCCGTCTAAGTCCTTAGCAGGAAATTGGGATGCTGATTTACGTAAGAATATAGAGTTGAATAAAATAGACGAGAAAGAGAGAGAGAAAGATGAGTCGGATACCAAGAAACCCGTAAAGAGGAAAAAAAATTCTGTCAAAGATAATGAGGTATGTAAGAAAGCTAAATACAGTTCTCGATCAACGAAGAGCAACGATGACAGAAAAACTAGTAGTAAATCAAAAGTAAAGTTTAAACATGATACGGAAGAAATCAATGAACTGAAAGATAATTCTCAAGAAAACATAAAAATAACAGAGCCGCAAAGTAATGAGAAAGAAAATATAACAAAAACTACTGTTAATACTGTAAGTTTTATGACGAACAAATCCGATAAAATTTCAACTAACATCTGTGCGGCAAAAACAAAAAGTATAAACGCGTCTAGCAACGATACAGCAATATCCGAAAAGAAACCTGTAAAAAAATATGCGCAACTAAAAACAATTTCGACTAATTTAAGGAAGTCTGATAACGAAAAAGAAAAAAACATGGAAGTCGCACAAATCAATATGCAAGTGTCTGAAGTTTCGAGAACTTTATCCGTAGATAGTACACAACATATCTTGCGTATGCCGGATATGATAAGTTTGGAGACACCTAGAAAATTTGACAACATATCTGGTCCTCCACCGACGCCAAGAGTATTGAGTCCTTCTAGTAATCTAATTACTCCGTTTATCAAAATTAGCGAGGATTCTTCTAAAATACGTAGTTTTATTGCTACCCCAGAATTTCCGATAACTCCGGGCATAGCTATAAGTCCGAAAGAGGAGATGACTAGAGATGTTATAAAAAGAGACGAATACAATTCCCCATACTATAAACCCACTTCTGAGCAAGTTCAGGAGTCTGATCTAAAGGTATCTACCAATAAGTCAAAAGACAACAGTATACACGAGTCACCTATTTTATCTTCATCGCACGTACAATTACATTCGGTGCACAATAGTCTCACTTCTGGTAATACTTATCAGACATGTTCTTCTAAATTAGAGATAACGGAGTTCGAAGTGATCAAAGAGAATTTACCGAAAGAAGAAGCTATCAAAGAGTTCAAAATTGCGTCTACTTCTAAAGATTCAGGAAGCGCAGAATTCAACGCTTCCATTGTAACAGATCACCACGAGGATCTAATACAGATAAATGAATTTAAAGGCATAAGTCAGCATCAAGAAATAATAACCGATGCCAACGATTCTCACAATGATTCTGAGAGTAGCTCGTCGTCCAACACATCATCGTCATCATCGTCGTCCTCGTCATCTACATCTAGCAGTTCGAATACATGTTCTCCAAACGAGAAATGTGACAAAGCTCCAAGTAAAACATGCACAGACATTAGTAGCGATTTCGCGGAAAAAAGTATTAACGCATCGAAAAATATAAATGATTCAACGAATATACAAAATACACGTAAAAAATCAAATAATGCGATTGAAACGGAGTCTTCGCCAAATAAAGTATTCGCGATTACGAAAACTGACGATCAGTTAAAGGATACATTAAAAGAAACTCCAGCTAAAGATGAAACTTTGTTAAATGAGGCTGATATTTCGGAAACGCCTAGCAGCTCAAAAAGTGGGGTAGAAATGATTAATTTAACGACAAAGATATCGGCAATTATGACAAAAGACGAAAAATTATTAAAATCAAATAAACCGGCAAAGAATAACAGTAAAATACAAACTAATAAACCGAGATCACTGCCAAAGATAATAGATATACAGTGTATTCAGCCAGCATCGATCCAGTTACCGAAATCGAATAAAGATGAATGCCAATCCGCGTGCGAACAAAGCACGTCTTTGCATAATAAATTAATGCAAAGGCATTTATTAGAGGAAAAACGACAACGCATCATGGCTAAGATCAAAGATAACTCAAAATTGAATTCTTCTTGTGGAACAAAGCGTAAACGCAATTTAACAAACAAAGCAGCTTCAGAAGCTTTAAAGAAGTTTGGTAGAGGAAATCGAACTATACGTCCAACGGTAAAATATTCCAAAGATGTTATTAAAAATAATGTCGACAAAGATGAAATAGGAAAAACACTTAAAAATATCGATGTACAAGAACAAGTATCAAAAACAGAAAATTCAGAGAAATATATTCTACAAGAAACATCAGCTCCGGATAAAGGAAAGCATGATGAAACGGAAGATAAACAAAATAAATTAAGACAGTTTTTGAATGATAAATCTGATTACAAAATATTAAGATATAAGGTGGATCAAGTGAAGCGCGACTTATTCAGTGATGAGGAGAATGATTATAAAACATCTTCGACAAAAGATAATAAAGCCAAGACAATCGATACAGAAATTCAAAATTCTAATCTTGTTGAAGCTTCGGGCAAGGAGAACGCCAATGTTGAAAAGCAGGAATTATCGACCGTTCTTCAATGTTTACAATTAGTGCCAGCGTCTAAAAAGGAACATTTAAATCATAGTAAAAGTCATCAAGCTGAACAACAACACAAAGAACAGAGTGAACCAGAAAACAAAAGTAATAATGAGTCGCACCAAACAGCCGATGTTCATAATAATAAAACAGAGTATCACTTCGTATATGACGATAGTATACCGATGAAAAAGAGAAGAAGAAGATATAGTGGACATGAATTACAGATCGAAATTAATTATGCAGATCTCTCTGATCCGAACCCCGTTGAGTGCATAAAGATAATGAAAGCTACAGAATTCGAAGAAATACTTAATCTCCTGCCTAAAAAACGAACAGTGAATAAAAAACCTCGCACAAAAAATGAAAAAGTTTGCGAAACACCTAGGACGGACAAGGACGTACTTAATCTAAAAGATAATACCACAAGACCTTTGGCTACATCATCTCCTGTAGATGAACCATCAAGAACTAAAATTAAAAAGACGATTAAAACTGCTGCAACAAACAAAACTAATAAGCACTCTGATACAAAGAAAAAACAAAAACTGGATAAGCAGGAAAAAGGTAAGATTGTAAAAATTTTTTATTTTTGATAACATAAACTTGTTTTTTTTTTATCGTAAAAATCAGATACCGCGTGGTATAAAATGTTTTAGTTTCAGATATCACTACCAAAAGCCGAAAGAGAAAACTGTCAGAAGTAAAAGAAACAAAACGGGTAATTAATTAATTTAAATAATTTATACTTATTTCTAATATTACTATTATACAGTAAAATGGTGTTTATAATTCTTTATTTAGATTGAAAAGAAATGCCCGACTGATCCACAAGCATTACTTAGTAACTTAGATGAAATGGACCTGAATAAATTCCTATCTACTGTTCATGGACCTGAATAAATGCTCTCTTTATTGTATATATGTATATGTATAAAAATGTAAATATATCATCTTTGCTATTTTTTATATAATTATATGTAGTATTATTAAAAGTGAAGATAGAGTATATATATTGTTATACTAATAATTTAAATTATTTAACATTTATATATCTCTTCAAGTCATCATTTTCCAATGATAAGCATTTCTTTAATTAAATATTTTTTTAATATCGGTTTTGTATTGAGTATTTATTTTCTTTTAATTTGACACAAAATATTTTTTTTAAATTAATTTATATATAATTTATTTATAATTTTTAATTGAATATATATATTGTATACTACACATATATGTATACACATGTATGTATATAGGTTACATATTATCTATGACAACACAGAATTTATTATATATAGACTGTATTCATAATTGACAGTATTAATTAAATTTTGTTTAATATTATAGTAACAGGAATACTTTAACAAATATCCTAAAATACTTGGAATTATTATATTTTTGTAGTACATAACGTGGCATTCATGATACTACTAATTGAAAAATACACAGTAATATATGGCATTATATAATACATTATAATTTATGATTTAGAACAGTACACAAAATTTTATGACAAATCAGATATATTAGTTTTCAGGATATTACAATTTTATTCGACATATAAATAGCAAATAAAATATTTAATTTAATTTATTTATTATTGTTTAATTTTTTTATTACAAATAAATGCTAAACATAATTTTATTAATAAATAGAGAAATTTTCCGAATAATACACTTTTATATTTTATATAATCTTTAGTTTCACAAAAATACTTGTAATCTAATAAAAAAAATACAGAGTGACACACTTTCAAAATCTTAACATTGAAAAAAACATTTTTTAATTGAAATTCATTAGAATAAAATTCTAACTTTTTGATTTGGCCACTTTATCCACCTCTTCCACAACATCCATGAACTTTTGCCACTGTTGCATAGTCAAGAATATTCCTATAAAAATATTGAAATTTATAATAAATTTTTCTGAATATTTTGACAAATTTTTTTATATTTTTTCTAATTGATTATATATTATCAGCTGTAAAGTTTATTAAAAAATTATTTTTCTCTTTAAATTAAACATTTTTTATTACATAACTGGCTCTTAGCCCTTCAATTGTTCTATTTTGTTTTATTCTTATAGAGCCTTATTATTACTTTATCTAAAACAATTACAAAACTATTACCTTTCTTCCCAGGTTTTAAATCACCGTCCTTGTCATAATACATCTCTCGGATGTCGACATAATATTTGCCTTTAAAGTTTCTCACGTTTACTTGACGATTGTTGCCCAAATCCCAAACAGTTTCGTCTTCAGTTTTTGCCTTCTTTGCCGGTTTTTTCTCATCTTTTGTCATTTTGTTATCATCTTCTCTTTCCCTTTTTTGCTTTTTCTTTGATTTTACTTCCTATAAACAAAAAATGTAAGTGTGAAATATATTTGAATATAAGGTAATTATTTAAATCCTCAGCTTCTAAGTAATGAAATTAGACTCGATAGAGTTCAGGATTAAAGTAAATAATTATCATAAATTATAAATACCTCTTCACTGCTATCATCACTGTCAGAGAGATATTCTTTTGACTTTGGCATCTTCAACTTCAAAATGAAAAAAATTTAATATCGTTTTTGAGAAAGATTATTAAATGGACTATCAAACACACACACACACACACACAATGTAATAAACTTTGCTAGCTTTGCTAACTTGCTAAATTTTATTTACAGTGGATCTTATATATACAATGATATTATATATAAATAAATTTGTCACCTTCAAAAATATTTTATAGATTTTGAAGTGGTAGTCATTACTCCATGTGACACTGGTGTGTGTATGTGTGTGCGCGCGCGCGTGTTTTGCATGCAAAGATCTAACCTATACTTTCATTTATGTTATCATATTTTGACAAATTGTTTCTGCAGCATCTATCACTTTCAAATAAAAACTTACTATCAAATACTTCTCATTAGCAAGTTTGTTAAATTGTGATATTTATAAAATTACGTATAAATGTTATGAAAATTAACATACCAACTATATTTCTTGAGCAAATTGAGGTGTGAATCAACCAAAATCGTTCTTTTTCGTCCCGTTTTGCTCTTTGACTATATAGTCAAGGGTTTTACTTTAAGAGGATGAACCAAAATCAATCTTGGTAAAATGGCCGCGTCTGCAAATAAGAGGATGAACCAGGATGAACGTGAACAATTGGACAAATTTCACGTATGCGCAGTAAAGCTGGTTCTACATTGGACGCAAGCAGTAAATTGCATGGACGCAAGTTTGTTGCGACAGCCAATCTGAAGCATTGATTTAAAAATGTAAGCTTGAGATTGGCTGTCGCAACAAACTTGCGTCCATGCAATTTGCTGCTTGCGTCCAATGTAGAACCAGCTTAATGTTAGCAGACGCTTTATTCCCTTAAGCCCGATCTACAATTGCGTAAACGTAGTTATAAGTGATTGTAGTTATAAGAATTGACCAATGACAGTCGAACATTCTCCTCGTATTCAACTGTGATTAGTCAATTCTTACAACTACGCTACGTTTACGCAATTCTAGATCGGGCTTTACACATTATGCGTTAGGGCTGAGCATAAGCACTGCCGTAAAGGAGCCTACAGACCAGAGCGGCGCGGCGGTGAAGCGTTTCCAGTGTGCTGGAGCCATAAGGCCGGAATCAGACTACGCATTGAAAATTGAGATTGAAGATTGAAAGATTGAATTGTGGCTAATCAAAATAATAGGAGTTAAAATTTCTTTATCATCATTGGTCAAATTTCAATTTTCAATCTTTAATCTCAATTTTTGAGATCTGATTCCGGCCTAAGGAAACATGGTGTGCTCGTAACTAAGCCCATGGCACATAGAAAAACGTAAGGCCGAAAACGTAATCAGTAAGCGAATTGACCAATCACAGTTGAGAACGTAAGCGGCGGCCGCTTTGCAGCGTTTGAAGCGCTAAGTGGACCGCAACCAGCTGGAGTCATATTGAGCGGAAATTAAGCGGGGATCACAGACTTTTGCATAACGCATAATACATAGTGCATAAGAGAATCAACCAATCTGAAGCCCTCCTTTCCTTCTACTTCAACGAAAAGAAATACTTTGATTGGCTGATTCTCTTATGCACTATGTAATATAAATCAACACAACATATAAACATTTGCCATAAAAGAGCCAACACAAGTAATTCGTGTGTAACAAAAATTCTTTAATATGAAATTAATTAAATACATAGTCACTTATATATAAGTGACTATGTATTTAATTAATTTCATATTAAAGAATTTTTGTTACACACGAATTACTTGTGTTGGCTCTTTTATGGCAAATGTTTATATGTTGTGTTGATTTATCACAAGAGCCTATATATATTATATTGTTTTATGTAATATAAAGCTTGTGTTTGGACCCTTACAGCGGAACAGTGAAACCAATCAGAACTGTACAATCATTTACTGCTTTACTTTCTGTGATTGTGATTGGTCTCGCTGTTCCGTTCCGCTGTAGATTTCCGCTCAATGTGACTCCAGCCTTAAGGTGCTTTTTCATGCGCAGCACGCTGCAGCAGCAATTCGTTACTATTGGTTAAGAATTTTATGTAAGCTAGATGACGCAATTCCGGCGCAAGATACATTTTGCCGCAGTTAGTTGAAGTTGAACCGAACGAACAGCAAGCAGCAAGCGGCAAAATCGAGAAAGCGTACAATATGTCCGTCGTTTCATTATGAAAATATTATTTATTGCAATAAATATTAGGAAAATAAACGAAGAATGGCTTCGGATAAGGTACGAAAAATAAAGTATAAAATGATCTAATTTACGAACATGTATCCGTACCTTATCCGAAGCCATTTTTCGTTTATTTTCCTAATATTTATTGCAATAAATAATATTTTCATAATGAAACGACGGACATATTGTACGCTTTCTCGATTTTGCCGCTTGCTGTTTGCTGTTCGTTCGGTTCAACTTCAACGATCTGCGGCAAAATGTATTTTGCGCCGGAAGTGCGTCGTCTAGCTTACATAAAATTCTTAACCAATAGTAACGAATTGCTGCTGCAGCGTGTTGCGCATGAAAAAGCATCTTTAGACTTGAAACTATTGTAGATCCGGACTAAGAGTATTCAATCAGATGATTTCTATTTTGAGTGATTCAGATAAATTGGAATTTATTCGCCGTTTTATTAATTTTTTGCATCGACGAAATTAAAAAAATTTTTTTAAAAATAATATAACGTAAAAAATTTTCAATCTTCAATCAATCTGTAAATCCAACTTTTATTGTTTGCATTAATAATTTACTCATGTCAAAAATTATATTATTTTTATAACTTCCGCAAGAACAGGTAAATATTTCATTTCTTATATTTGACAATTAACTTTATATATCTTACAATTAGCTTTACGAATAGTTTTACTGATGCGATGTTCAACAATCAAAATCTTATTTTATATAAAATGATCATTAATTAATTCTATGATGCACCTCATATGCTATGACACCGTAAATTAAAACAGTGAAAGGTTTTATGTGTACACATATTTATTCACTTTCTTCCTTGGAACGCTCTCTATCCGAGCGTCTAGATTTCTTCTTACGCGACCGAGTCGGACTCCGTGATCTCGATTTGTGTCTACGAGATCGCGATCTTGATCTATGTCGATGTCTAAAAGTATCAAAATTAATATATATTAACATATTTTATAGAAAACACATTATAGTGTCTGATATAAAATTTTAAGAAAAAGAAAGAATATATATTATTATTACCGATCTTTATGTCGATACTGAGATCTGGATCTATCACGCTCTCGATCCTCATCTCGCGTCATAGAATCTCTATCTCTATCGCGATCTCTCATCATGGAATCTTTTTCTCTATCACGATCGCGATCTCTATCCTTGTCCCTATCTCTACTCATAGAATCCATTTCTCGGTCTCGATCTCTGTCTCGTTCCCGGTCTCTACCATCCCTTTGATCACGCGGCTGCATCAAAGGTGGAATGGATGTTGGTGGAACCATTGTAGGTATCGTCTTAGGTCCCATATCTTTGTCGTCTTCACCTTCAGTCATCGGAATTGCTAGATTTGTCGGCTGCCACGTCTTTAAAAAAGAAAAAAATTAGCTTTATTTTTTCGGAGTAAAACATTTCCTAAAATATTATAGAATAAAATTATCTAATGTTAAATATATATAGCAGTTTTTAAATTATATAATATAACATTAGATAAATTCAAATTTCTATATATAATGTTATTTTCACTAATTGTTTATATTGTACATTCTTACTGGGTCATTGCCCCATTGGTTGTCTTGTGTAGGTTCATAACTCTGATAATATGGATCAGTTTCTGGTATATAAAACGGCGTCGGTTCTCCAGCATATCCTGGTGGAGGCATGTCAAATGGTGGCGGTGGCATTCCTGCTCCAGGAGGCGGTACGCTCATGTCAGGGAAACCTGGTTTTCTAGAATATTCTCTCCTGTCGGCAGTCATAACTTGTATAACATTTCCCTTTGGTGGGGATTTATCTAGATTTCTTCTGGAAGCTAAACCAGAGCTTCCTATAACATCTATAGTTCCTGCCATTTTTCTTCCAGGTGGTGGGCCAGCTCTCTTAGGACCCATAATACCAGAGTATTTGCTATTGTCATTGGTTATTGCCACTTGAGGCATTCTCATGCCACTTGGATTACTACCACCACCACCAGCATTTAAGATTAATCCTACTCCAGACTCGCTTCGCATTCGCTTCTGACGTTCGCAATATGCTCTCCAGGTGTCTTCATTGAAACCATAGTTGAAATAATCTGTAATATCTGCACCAGGTTGTCTCCATGGTTTATCCTCCAATTGATCTAAATTGAATTCATGGGCTGGTATCCCATTGATAACGCCGATAGTTTCAAATTCATCTATACTGAACTTTCCTGGCTGTTTGTTCAATTTATCCGATACACCAGATGTATTTGTTAGCAATCCTCCTCTCTTGATATTTAAATTACCATATGTTGGCGCTGACTTGATGTCACCAATAACAACATGTACATCGTCATCGGAATCAGATTCACTGGCAGCTTCACCATCTTCCTGACTAGAAGCATCTCTTGTCCCGTTTTTACTTACATCTAAATTTTCTTCTTGTGCATTATTCAACAAAGAAGATTCTTCATCACCATCACCAAGAGAGTCGGTAACTTCTTGTATCTATAAAAAGAAACAAATTCTTTAAGAACAATATTAAAATATATGAAAAGGTTAAATATTCAGTAAGATACAAATATAATATATATTATACCAGAAGGTTTGTGGGTTATCGCTGTGTCTTCCTTTATTATTGATGCCAACGTTTGTGAACCATGCCGTTCACTTTATCAGGACGAGGAATATGCTGATACTTGTGCGCAGATACAGTATCAGCGTATCCCTCGTCCTGATAAAGTAAACGGCATGGTTCACGAAACGTTGGCATCAATAATAAAGAAAGACACAGCGATAATCCATAAACCTTCTGGTATAATTGAAGAAAATACCCGTGAAAGCCTCAAATACATAATATAATATGTATATTAAAATATACAAATTAAACAGTTTATACTAAATTTATTTCTTTCTTTTCTTCCTAACTGATTTGTGTATTGCTCAAGTTTCTTCTTCTCTTAGATTGAAAGCTAAGTTAGATGTCTCCGACTTTCTTTTAAATCTTATAACACTGTACCTTGTAAAACACTGAAAATACAATATTTACTGTTCATGTACAGGTTACATCGAATTATTAAAATATGTGCCTACATACACACATAATTAGAAAGACTGTACATGATACAAAATATCAAACGTACTAAATCTTCGATAGTGAAATAAAGATAAGATAGCTTTGCATAATGTCTTGAAGGGAATCAATTAATTGTAAACGATCAAGAGAGAGGTTAGATCATACCTCAGATGGTATTTCATCAACACCTTCCACTTTTTGATCTTCCTGCATTTGCAAGTTCTCCTGAACTTCGGTGAGTGTCGAATCATTTTGGGGAACCTCTAATTGAATATTCGTTGAAGTATATTCCTTGCCGTCGGTGGAATCTCCGTATAACCATTGATCTTCGCTTTCATCCGCCATTTTTCTTGAATCTGCGTTATTCGTTTACCCCATGGTGTAATAAGAAAGGTGAAACGTTCCAAAGTTGTGCAGTAGCAAAACGAAAAAGCCAATCACTGCTGGAGAGATTTTGCATATGTGCATCGTATATGTGTGATCACGTGTGATCTATGAGACTGTGTTGGTCTATATATGTGTAGTGAATATTGTTGTGTAGTGAATAATTGTTACTTTTATATTGATTAAAAATGTAATAAAAATGCTCAAATTATATCTGTTGCTAGTGGCTTACTAATCTTGTTTATTACTTTGGTTATTTGAATCATCGATGTCGGTAGAGTTATTATTTGAAGGGCCCTCGAGCGCGTGCAAAAGCGAGGAAAACTTTGCTCCAAGTTCTAGGTTTTAACAATCATTTTTCCCGTAATCCTTTTTTAAGAGAATATTTATTACTATTATACAGCTACCGAAAAAGTGAGTTTGGAGTGATTCTGTAGCTAGGAAATAAAAATAAAGATACAAATCTTGAATTGTACGTCAGGTTAGGGAACCTGTCATTTTACACGTGCCTCTGGATTTATTTTTATTATTTCCTAGCTACAAAATGACACCAAGCTCACTCATTCGCCACCTCTAATATTAATACATATTCCCTTAAAAATAGATTTGGAATTAAAATAGATTTGGAATTATGTATTTTCGCTCCACACCGGATTGGTAGATACAGCGGGTCACGTGAATATCACGTGATTAGTCCTTCCCCCATCGGCGCAACGTTTCACCTTTCTTATTACACCATGGTTTACCCAAAGAATAGGGAGAAGAAGAATGGAAAATAGAAGGCTTGCGACCAGCGAAATTGCGCGCCATCTAACATTTGGAGTGTTAACTGTTTGGTCGACAATGTTAGGGTCTGAGCACAAACACTGCCGTAACATTTTACGACATACTCAGGGTGCAGTCCCATGGAGCGTATCGCGCGTATCGCGGATTGGCGGATCGCCAATCACAGAATCGTTCTGTTAGATCTGTTTACAAATTTTGTAAACAGATCTAACAGAACGATTCTGTGATTGGCGAT